AGACTCTTCCCTTAAATTTGTGTTGTAGGGGTCTTTTATCTTGGACTCATCCTTCTATTCAATTAAAATTGAGAAAAGTAGTCACTGTGATGCATGGTATTATTGTGTGCACCAATCTAAGTACCAGTGAGGAAAAAAAAAGAGATGTCTGAGGAGATAACAAAGACAATTATTGCCAAGCACAGCCAAAGATAAAGGCAACAAGGCCATCTCCAAGAAGCCTGATGTTCCAATGACCGAAGTTACAAATATTATCAAGAAGTTTCACGTCCATGAGACTGGAGCCAATTTCCCTGGACGTGGCCGCAAGAGATCAATGGAAACCAAGCTGAACTGAGTTATAGTTAGTACAGTGAAAAAAAAGAACCAAGGAAAGCAACTACACATTTAAGCTAACCTCCAAGATCAAGGTACAGCAGTGACCGGCCGCTCATACCATCCATTGCTGTTTGAATGAAATTGAGCTCCATGGAAGACAAACCAAAAATACCTCTCTTTTATAAGAGAAACAAAGAAAGCCAAACTGGAGTTTGCAAAAATGCTCATTGTCAAGCCCCAGTGGTTCTGGGAAAATCTCTTTAGGACACATAAAACATCAATTGGGGCTGTTTTGTAAGTCCCATGAGGTTTATATTAACAGAAATAAAAATGAAGCTTTCAAAGAAAATAACACTATGCTACCTGTGACACTCGGAGAGGAGGATCAGTTACTGTATGTTATAGGGTTACTTTGCTGCGTCTGGCACAGGACGCTTTGAATCTGTACAAGGAACAAAGAAATTGGAAGGTTGTCTAGGCACTCTAGAGTGAAACATATTGCCCAGTGCCAAAACGCTCAGTCTGAGTAACAGGTCTTTGATCTTCCAACAGCACAATGACCCAAAATATACATTAAAAAGCACATACGAATGAATTAGAAGATAACACTGCACTGTCCTCCAGAGGCCTGCTATGAGTCAAACATTTACAAGACCTGAAACTGGCTGTTGGGAAAAGGTTCTTCAAACCTAAGAGTACTAGAGCAGTTTTCTCAAGTAAACTGGGCCATACTACAAGCTGAGAACTGCAAAGGTGTCATTCTGAGTAACAAAAAGCGCTTAATTGCGGTAACTGCCTGAAAAGGATGTGCTACAGAATATTAGTGTAATGTCCAGGTGCCCAAAGATGTTAGGAAGGCACCAGGAAAGTGATGGAATATGAGGACCCAAGTGCAGAGACCTGATATTTTATTAAATAAAGAAAGGTGACATACCAAAACCAATACAAAAACTCCAGGGACAACAAAAAGAGAGCGCACTAAACAAAAAGGGTATTTCACATTAAGGCGACCTGCCTGTGAGGTAGGAGAACTAAGGTTTAAATAAGGAGATGACAGCTAAGTAAGGAGAAACAGGTGGGAGAATTAACTAAAAGAGCAGAAGTGATAATTGAATAACTGGGTGAAGACAGTCCTGAATGCCCAGGGGGAGGGGCCTGATATTTTTGCCCATGCCATTTTCATTTGTTTTATTTTTGATGTTACATTGAAATTCCAAAGCAAAGAGTCAGTTGACTCACATACGAAATAAGGAATGGATGATGCTAATTGCTTATGTCAGTTTCAGCTTATTGCAGAAAAAAAATCAGTTTTTTATTTTAAATGGAAGGGTACAAAACACTTCTGATGACCTCTGTAGTAGGTTATTAATACTAGATTCAAGTTTACCAAAGATAAGAAAATTAGATGCAAGCTGTATTAACATAAGACTTTGGGCAATAATTAGAGAAGAGCCTCAGAAAACAGGGAAAAACAGAGGGCAATGGAAGATGGAGTAATAAAAATGCACTGTACTTTGGCAACCAAAACGGTGCTGAAATCTTCCCCCAGACTGTTGATTGAAGCGTTAATCATGTCATAGGTTTGTCCAAAGTTTCCCTCCACAGGAATCTCCTCTTTGCACCAATACGTCATAACTGATGGAAGAAAAAGGGGCCTGACCCATGAGAAGCACCATAAAATATCACAATTGTTCATAATGTGCCTTATTGGCTTTTCTTTGCTTTGCTAAAGAATTCATACCTCTCATGACATCACAAAGAAAGTGAAACTGCATAGGAGCACAAAGCAAGTGGCTGATCAGAGGGGCCTTGGCAGTTTCCATGCAGTCTCGCCACTTATCATGAAACCAGTCCCGGCACCGATCTATTCCCTGCTGTACAACATCTGACACACGGCAAATATCACGAGCTTCACAAAACTTAATCTACAACAGCTGATGGAAAATAATACACTTCATTAAATTTACTCTTACTATACTGTACTAATTATAAGTAAGAGAAGCAAAATAACCTAAAAATTATAACTCAAGCATAATAACAGAGAGTAAAAAGGAAGGTACGCTAGAAATCTCGACAATTAAAATATAACTTCATTGAAAAATTTGAAAGAAAAATTAAAAGGACATTAATTGATTTTAATATAAGACAAAGACAGCATGAGTTAACATAAAATCCAGCTGTGAAATGTTCATTTCATTTATTTGAAGTAGAGAGTGATTCAAAATCTATATCACCCATGCGAAAACATAATTGCCCCCAAAATCTAATAATTGGTTGTACCACTCTTGGTGTCAACAACTGCAAACAAATGCAATTATTGGAAATAAGTATTTATATTGCTGGAAGGAATTTTGGCCCACTCTTATCAGCAGAATTGTTTTAATGCAGCCACATTGGAGGGTTTTTGAGCATGTGAGACCTGTTTAAGGTCATGTGAAAGCATCTCAATCAGATTTAAGTCAGGACATTGACAAGCCCACTCCAAAGCTGCCTTCTTTTTTTTTTTTTTTTTTTTTTTTTTTTTTTTTTTTTTTTTTTTTTTTTTTTTTTTCTTTTGAGCCATTCAGAGACAGACTTGTTTATGTGCTCCTGATCATTGCCCTGCTGTATAACCCAACTATGCTTGAGTTTTAGGTCACAAACTGATAGCAGGACATTCTCCTCCAGAATTTTCTGGTAAAGAGCAAAATTCATGTCTCTATTAATTATGGCAAGTCGCCGAGGTTCTTAAGCAACAAAGCAGTCCCAGATCATCACACTACCCGCACCGTGTTTGACTTTTGGTTTGACACTCTTCTTGTGGAATGCTGTGTAAGCTTTATGCCAGCTGTAACAGCAAAAAGTTCCACTCTTGAATCTTCAGTCCACAAAACATTATCCCAAAAGTCTCGGCTTCATCGAGTTGTTTTTTGACAAAAGTGAAACAAGCCTTTGTGTTCTTCTTGTTCAGCAGTGGTTTTTGCTTTGCAACTCTCTCAGATGTCGTTATTGCCGAGTCTCTTTCGTATTGTTGAATCCTGAACACTGACCTTAACTGAGGCAAGTGGGGCCTGCAGTGATGTTAGTCTGGGTTCTTTTGTGACCACCTGGATGAGTCATCAATGTGTTCTTGAAGGAATTTTCAGAGGACGGCCACTCCTGGGAAGGTTCACCACTGTTCCAAGTTTTCTCCATTTGAAGATAATGGCTCTCTCTGTGCTTCACTGGAGTTCCAGAGCCTTAGAAATGGCTTTATAACCCTTTAAAGTCTGATAGATGACAATGACTTTGTTTCTCATCTGTTCTTGAATTTCATTAGCTCACAGTGTCATGTGCTGCTTTTTGCCTACCTCACATTTCCAGATAGGTTCGATTTTAAGTGATGTTAAGATTTAAAAAATAGAATCAACAGGGCTGGCAGTAAAGATGCCAGGGTGTGCCTAGTAAAATTGAACCCAATTATCAATTAAATTTCTTTCAATTACTACGGGGGAAATTATTTTTTCACAGAGGGGCAGGTAGGGTTGGATATCTTTTTCCGATCAATCAATGAAATCATTATTTGAAAACCGCATTTTGTTTACTTTGGTTATCAACTGTATGTCTAATATTACAGTTCTTCTGACGATCTGAAATACTAAAGAGTGACAAATTTGCAAAAATATAGGAAATTGGGACGGGAGAATACTTTTTCACTGCACTATACGAGGATATGTAAGACGACTGGCCAGTCAAACTATGATTCAATCCTCGGCTAATGATAAAGGTGTACTACCATACAGTACTTACGGCAACTTTCAAACATCACAGAGCACATATCCACTAGACTCACATTCACAGCGGAGCATAGTCTTGGCAACAAAAAGCTCTTGCGTGCTGTTGTCCTTAAGTGCAGATTTCAGATTGTGGCTGTCGTACCCATACTCTCCCATCACCAGCTCTCTAATGTTCTGGAAGCTCCTTGTCACATTCTGAGCTTCATTCTGGAATTTCTCCTTGTTGTTCTAACACCCCAATTCCAAAAAAGTTGGCATATCATGGAAAATGCAAATAAAATCAAAAAGAAGATATCTGAAAGTCCACCCTCAACAATAGTGAGATCAGTGCAAATACGTAGTATTTGATTTTCTGATGTGAATTTAATTGCTTATTGGAAAGACAAAATGTGATGACTGCAAAAGAGTCCAAAAAAGTTGGCACAGTTGACTGTTTACCACTGTTGAACCTTATCATGTCTTTTAATCACACTCATTGAAGGTCCCATCTTCTGTGCTTTCGAGCACGGTGAGATCCATTTTTTTTTTTTTTTTTAAACAAATTTGGCATCTCTAATCCTACCCGAATCTGGAATGCCCAATCCAAGAACCATGTACAAGCCTTGCTCTTATGCGACCCCCTGTTGCCAGCTCAGGAGAAAGCGATAGTGCATGGCTCTCCTCCAAAGCACGCGCCTGTCAGCCCCTGCATCTTTACACTCATTGGTCAAAACTATCGCAAGTTCAGAACGAGGGCGGAGGATACCCGAACATGACCAAGCTTAGAATTTCACTGACGAGCGCCCGGCTGGCCAACAGGAGGTGCTTGCGCAACGAACAAGGCAACCATGTTTCATATCCCTTCCCGCAGTCCCTTCCCAATTTACATTCCCACAGCACTTTAGCCAATCGTGCACTGTTCTGAAAAAGCTGCCGACCACCGCTGGTTGGTATGACCGGGGATCGAACCCGCGCCGTGTTAGTCACTACTGCTCCGCAAGTGCAGTGCCTTAATCGACTGAGCTATCCCAGCAGCATGAGATCCAGTTTTGATGATAGCAGTGATGAATCCCTCAAACCTGTTACCCCTTCCTAAAGCTTTCAAGCCCACATTCATGATAGCAAGCGTTCATCCAGGTCATTCTGAAATTCCCAGCTTTGTTAAGTCAGCACTATAAAGTCATACGTCAGCCCAGTCCACACCAAGCTACCACTGTTCGACACGCCCATTGTGCAAAAGTTAAAGTTACGCAGTAAATGCAAGGTGGACAATTGTGGCAGAGTTATGGTCTACTAAGTGTGCAAACGCAGACAATTCAAGCTATGCAAGATCGATTTACGCATTGTTGCCTTCTGGAGTGTGTCACCTGAAAATCTTAAAAGAACACAACTATGAGCAGCAGTCTGAGCATTGCAGCTAGCAGGCCCAATAGCAATTCTTAAGATAGGGACATTTGAGGGATCGCAAATTGCGCAAATTCAGTAGTTTTTGGCCTACGGGTTTACACGCCGAGATTCAATCTGATTCCTTCCATCTTTTATTTGACTCACTATAGAGGGAGAAATGCGCAAAATCATACCAGTTTTTCTTTGGAGAATGTCATCCTCAAAGTGATGGAGCACAAGCTCACGCATCCGTTGAGCCTTGACCATCTTTGCTAGTGTAATGTATTCAGTGCACCGAATGATGTGCACTGAATAAAAGCAAATGTGAAAGGATCCAAGCGTGAAGAAGAAATGAGTTTCTTTATTACGTAGGAAGCGGAGGTTTGGACAAAAATTCAATACAAACAATATCGGGAAAACATCACTTCCCAAAGATACCAAGGTTTAGCTAGACTAAACAATCAGAAAGCTAAAATGCTAGCACAAAGGTAGAGTGCCTAGTCTATACAATGAAGCTATACAAAGACTTCGCTAGTAGTGAGGGCTAGTGCCCGATCTATATAGGCTTAATAGGCTAATTGAATGATTGAACACAGATGAGCGTAGTTGCGATGATGGAGTTGGGAGCAGGCCGGAGCTCAGTAGTCCAGCGATGTGAGCCGTTCTGGGCGAGGCATGACAGCTAGGCCTTTTTGGAGGCTCTTTCTATAACACGATGAGCTCATCTGCTTAACATCATGATCTGTTTCACTTCACCTTAATATTGCAACTTGCCACATCATTATTAGTCCAATACTGCCCCTGTGCAAACTTTTTTGAGTCTGTTAAAGGCATCAGATATGAAATAAGCATGTATTTTCGATAACAAAATTGAATCCAGATTTGAATGCATCAAATAATGCGTTGTAGTATTTTCAATAAAGCATAAGGTGAATGGGTTCAAATCACTCCTTGTTTATTTTATTTGCATTTCCATAAAGTGCCTACTTTTTTAGACTTAGGGGTTGTAATTTAGGGGAGTGGGATCAAAACAACATGCATTAATGGGTCATGAAATTCAAGTGTACCAGTAAAAAGTTTAGAAAAAAGTTTAGATACAATTTCCTAAAATGTCGTATATATATATATATATATATATATATATATATATATATATACACAACCCTAATTCCAAAATAGTTGGGACGAAGTGTAAATTGTGAATAAAATCAAAATGCAATGACTTTCAGATCACGAGCCAATGTGTTATTTACAATAGAACATTGATAACATTTCAAATGTTGAAACTGAGACATTTTACATTTTTATCCACAAAATGAGCTTATTTCAAATTTTCTTTTGGCTGCAACACGTCTCAAAAAAGTTGGGACACAGGCAAAAAACGGCTGAAAAATCTATTAATATATAAAAGAATCAGCTGAAAGAACATTTAGCAAGTAATTAAGTTAACTGGCATCAGTTGTGTAACATGATTGGCTATAAAAGGGATGTCTTAGAGAGCCTGAGTCTCTCAGAAGTAAAGATGGCCGGAGGCTCTCCAACCTGTGAAGGCTTGCGTGAAAAAATTGTGCAATACTTGATGAATGAAAGCACTGAAGGTGCTGATGCCTCGGTGCTTACAGCAGTGACAAGTATATCCCTTAATGAAGCTATAAAATTGGGTGTGGACATGTCAGAGTGCCCTAGCTGTACATCTATGCTTGACACACTCAAGTATTTACCCACCAGTGGCAGTCTGATGAGCATTAATGTACGCAAAGAAGAAACATAGTCTATTCACAGAGCCACGTGCTGACTCATAAATTATGCGTATCTGCACCAACGCAGCTAAAGTGCTACAGTACAGGGCTCGAAATTAACTTTTTTGCTTGGTTGCGCTGCGCTCCCAAGTTCAAAAAGTTAGGAGCGTGAGCCAAAATTTAGGAGCGCACACACCAAAATCTAAGAACCACCAATTTTATGTTTTTTTTTAATGTTTTAAAACACAACAATATATCACTCCACATTAACAATACAACTGTCTCCAACAAATGAAAGTTATTAAACAATATGAAAGTTTTGAGTTCATTGATTAACAAAGGTTTCCACTACATTGGCTTCAAGCCATATCCGGAGGCCAGGATTTAAAATTGGGTCTCCTGGCTCTCTGCCCTTCCATCCATCTCTTCACTGCCTGTGAGGCATCAAATATGTCCAGAGGAGGACCCTCCACACTGATCCGAATCAAATCTACAACTGTGTTAGGGTTGAATGCAGATCTGACGTAAAGTCGTAAAGTGTTTGTTTTCGCCATAATATTGCAACACGAATCAGTCTACAGAGGTAACTTTGCTATTTGTTAGCTTATTATAACATAAGCAGATGTTATGAGTTGGATGCGCTTGTTTTAAGATGTATGCCGCACGCCATCTATATATTATTACTGAGTTGGCGATTTGCGTAATTTCACACATCTCCTCTGAAACCACCGTGAATAAAGAGTCTGTTTTCCGCATACATCAATTTTACTGTGCGACAAAGACGATGCGCCAGGTTTCGAACTTAGTTATGAAGTGAAAACTGCATTTTGAAGCCGTTTTTGCAAGTAAAACCGGCTAATTCAATCAAGGATAAAACAGCGCCACAAGTGTTGTATACAAGGAAATTCTATGAACTTTTAAAACCAGGCTGCCTACATTGCATCGAAAAACGCGCATTTTGGCTAGTTGTCATCTAATTTCTGCATTTTCAGGAAAACGTAGCGTGTACATGCAAATATATAAACGTTTACAGGTCTAAAGACGCGCTGAAAAACAGCATTTTTATGATTTTTGCGGATAGGTTTCTTAAGATATGAGCGAAGAAACCGAGACAAAGATTTTAGGTCTGAGCAAGCGCAGAACCGCGAGGCAACATATTTTGGTAGGTTGCAATAACTTGCAAATATTAACAGAACACTGAACCTACTCGTTCACGCACATTTATCACAGCATTTTTTGTGTTTGCTTTCTCTATGTATGGAGGTATTTTCACGTTTAAAGTGTTTGGACCCAGTATTTAAGGCGCTGCTATCTGCAAGATCCGGGCCATAATCTTTATAATGAACGTAGTGCTTTTCACCTTCTTTTAACCTCAGCCGAGTGTTAATTTTGTTCGCATATGCTACCAAAATGGTCGCAATTTCGAGCCCTGACAGTATTATCATTATACGCCTACTCATAGCTTTGTGCTCCGTTTGTCAAGTTCTGCCATCAACAGTAGCCATTGCTCTGATATAAATCGAACGGACAAGTTGTAAAGCAATCCACTGTGAAGAGCTTTTTCTTCGTTGAAGTCTTGATCGCTCGCAGCAGCCATTGTGGTAATGAAATAGTGCTATAACTCGAAAATAAAGATTCAGAGAAACTGGAAAAATCTCTGTGTGTAAGGAACAAAGTCGAAGACCTTTACTGGATGCCCGTGATCTTCGGGCCCTCAGACATCACTGCATCACTCACCGCCATGATTCTGTCATTGACATTACTAAATGGGCCCAGGAATACTTCAAGAAACCACTGTCAGTAAACACAGTCCATCATGCCATCCACAGATGCCACCTAAAACTCTATCATGCAAAAAGGAAGCCATTGTTGAGCATGATCCAGAAGCGCCACCGTGTTCTGTGGGCCAAGGCTCATTTAAAATGGACAGTAGCAAAGTGGCAAAGTGTCCTGTGGTCAGACAAGTCCAAATTTGACATTCTTATTAGAAATCATGGGCGTCGTGTCCTCCGGGCAAAAGAGGAGAAAGACCAGCCCTCCTGTTATCAGCGTTCAGTTCAAAAGCCAGCATCTCTGATGGTATGGGGATGCATTAGTGCGTATGGTGTGGGACATTTACATGTTTTAAAAAGCACCATGAATGCTGAAAGGTATATAAAGGTTTTAGGGCAACATATGCTCCCCTCCAGATGACATCTATGCCAGGGAAGGCCTTGTGTATTTCAGCAGGACAATGCAAAACCACATACTGCAGCTATTACAACAGCATGGCTTCGTAGTAGGAGAGTCCGTGTGCTGAACTTGCCTGCCTGCAGTCCTGATCTTTCACCGATTGAGAACATTTGGCGCATAATTAAATGAAAAGTCTGTCAAAGGAGGCCTAAAACTCTCCAGAAGCTGGAAGCCTGTATTAAACAAGAGTGAGATCAAATTCCAATAGCTAAACTCAAGAAACTTGCCTCCTCAATGCCCAGATGCCTCCACTCTGTGTTAAAAAGAAGAGGGGATGCTACACCATGGTAAACAGGCCCGTCCTAACTTTTTTGAGACGTGTAGTGGCCATGAAATTTGAAACGAGCTCATTTTGTGGACAAAATTGTTAAATTTCTCAGTTTCAACAATTGCTATGTTATCTCTGTTCTATTGTGAATAAAACACTGGCTGGTGTGATTTGAAAGTCATTGCGTTTTGATTTTATTCACAATTTACACTTTGTCCCAACTATTTCAGAATTGGGGTTGTATATATATAAAATTTTGGAATTCTTAAAGGTCCCCTGTCATGTCACCAGGTCAACAGGTGCACGGTCAGTTAGTCATTACAAGCCATATCAAAATCTGTTTGTTTGTAACATCAGATGGAGAAGTGACTGCCCAGAGGCTTGAAGGACTGATCAACTTCAGCTAAC